CCTTCATCCCCCTCCTCCCTGAATGGATTTACTGAGTTGAATCCAAGCAACCAGTTGAGTRTGTTGCAACCTTCTTTATAACTCTGCTTCTTCTGGTTTCCGGTGCCAGAATGTAAGCTGTGTTTTACTTTTTTCTCTCTCCCTCTCTCTTTTTTTAATCCAAGAACATGGTGTCCACACTGCAGGAATAAAAACATCACTCCCAGATAAATGTTTCATGAAGAGGATAAAGAACGATATGAAGAAATCAGGATTTGTTTTACATTTCCCACAAGAATCGAGAACTTTTTCCTTTTTCAACTCAACTTTTGCAAAAAAAAATCACTTTGATGCATTTTTTTAAATCACAAAATAATCCAAACAAATGCCACAGCAAAGTGAAACAAAAAAAGTGAATATAGTGCACAACAATGCATTTTCCTGCAAACTTACAAAAGTTTAATAAAGTTAGTTTTTGGTCAGTATTTCTAAAGCAGTCTAATTTCTCTCTTTTCTTTGATCAAGCATCAAGGTAGGAATAAAAAAAATAGTAATAAAAAAAATTCTAATTGCATTTTTGAACTTTTAAATCTAGTGCAAAAGACCAATAAAAGAAACTGTGCTCTCATGTCAGTTCAAATCACAGCCGAACAACAAGCTTGTGTTTAGTTCTACACTAAGACAGAAATAGATTCGGTGCAGCAGATCAGATTACAGAGAAACCAGCTTTTCTTACCTCGTGTGCTTCTTAGTCTGAGTCTGGAAAGAAGGACGACAGGCATCAGAGCTCTGGCTTTTATACTAAGACGGAGACCCATGGCATACTTCTATTCCCCTCAGAGACCATAAACTGCTGATGGTATAGGTGGAGTTTGTTTCTATCCAATAGAAAAAATATGTAGAATTCATGCATACTCATACACTTATACAACTGATTTAATGAAAGGACTTTTTTTAATAGACGTTTAAATTAATGATTAGGGCTTTGTTGTACATGGGGGCAGTCTCTTGTGAGCTGATGAAAGTGCAAACAATCACTCAAGCGCGCTTAGTATCTTATCTTAAACCTCCATTAACTCAGCCGCTGTCGCTTTGGTGGTGATTGGGCTGAGAAATGCACCGATTTATTATAAAAACAATCAGCCACGTCGCTTTGGAGCTCGGAAAGTCAGCTGTGCGAACAGTAGGGCACTCCCTGACCTGGAGGTGTGTCGATGTATTGGTTTGTTTGTCTGTTAGCAGAATATCTTCTGATCCAGTGGAGGGATTTGGATGAAACTTACAGAAATAAGTCATCTGATGTGCAGCTACAGCTCATTAACTTTTTGGTTAAGTCCAATCAAGGGTGATCACAACAGTTAATGCAGATGAGAAAACAAAGAAACAGCTATAATTCAGCCAGGTTTTAAAAAAGCAAACTAAAATTTGCTGTGGTATTAGCTGAGGATCATTCACCACACATATTCAGAGCAAAACTGTGGTTTCTCAGCATGTTATTTGAGTTTAAACTCTGGCATGAAGAGCATCGGGGGACATGCATTCCTTCTAGGAATKCTGGGAAAGTTAATTTGATGCAGATGGTTTGAAAAAGCATGGAGCATGGAGTTGATCTTGCATTGGGTGGATAGTAGCTAAAGCAGGATGTAAAACGAGTTAAATAAATCCAACAGAGTGCATCAATAAGACAAGAATTATGAGGATCAACGTGTCCTCTGCAGTCTAATGGCCAGAACTCTGCAGTTTTCACTCATTTACAGGCCAGCGGTCACTCTTTCAGAGATGAGGATGTTCTCATTCTTGATAGAGAGGAACATTGGTTTGAGAGAGGAGTAAAATAAGCCATTTTTGTGAAGAAAGACCGTCCATCATTAAACAGAGGTGGAGGCCTCTGTTTTCAGTTGTCCCCCTCCTACAGCGCTGCTATTGCCAGTATCACTCCACCCCCTGTTAACAATAAGTGTTAATTAGGTGTCAACGATAGCCATGTGATGTGAGTATCAGTCACATGGAGGCAGGGCTTAAAAGCCTGAATTTTGCCTGAAACTCTCAGACTGAAGAAGTCTCTTGGAGGAGAGACGAAACGTTTCATTAGAGAAGAACTCGTCCAGAAGACCTATACAATTTTTTTTCTTTTTGTCCTCTGCAGCTGTWTTATTTTCATTTAACACACTTTAATAATTTTGACTAAAAAATTATTTTATTTAAACTCCGCTTGATTTGCCTCCAAACACAGGATCAGTTTTGTGTGAACTTTTTTGCTCTTACCTACAGTAAAAAACAATCAATAGACTGGTTAATGTGTTCAAAGATTGGTTAATGTGTTCAAACTCATCTAACTTACCTTTTCGCCTAGACGTGTTTACTCAGAGTTTCTCTTTGATTGCAGAGTCAGTCTGTGTGCTCAGGCAGGACAGTTCTGAGGACTGAAATGGGACTTGGGTCATCGTGTCACCATATCTTTTTTTGGCTTATTTAAAAATCCTAAACTAATGCTTTTTGCATGTTTTTTTGAGCATCAACCATTTTTTAAATCAATTTCAATGTTATGCAGGAACACTGCTGCAACTGTTTTTATGTGAAAATACTGGAATGCCAGAGCTCCAAGTGTTGACTCTTCAGATCTCGGTCTGATTGAGCGTCTCTTTAATGCATTGACACAAGCAAGTCTGGTCTGTGGAGTCCATATCTGTTGATTACGTCTTGTGGAAACTCTTTAGGAGTCAATTCCTGCACAAGGACACCCTGAGCACTGATTTACTTTTGTTGATTAAAAAATCAAAGAGACTGGAGTGCCTTTTGGAACTTATGTAGTATTTTAAGCTGACTTTTTTTTTTTTTTTTTCAAATTTAACATTTGATTTGTCCTTCTGTTGTTTGTTGCCTGTATGCTTCCAAATCCATCTCTGGAGGTGGAGTATATTAAAATTGCTCTAACTTTCAGAATAAACTTTTGTATTTAAAAGCATTTATAACAATCAGGATCGAAATGAGCTTTTATGGAGCAAATGTCTCACAAGTTTTTTTCAACTTTAGCTTTTGGTTTCCCTAAATTTTCAAGGTCATAAAAGTGATTGCTTCACTACGTTTTGACCTCGTCCTGTCGTCACCCCCGAACCACCTGTTTCAGCTTCTCCAGGGGCTCCAAACCTCTCAGCATGGAAATTTTTCACATGGCTCTGGTGATCAATAGGTGGTTTCGTCAGCTCRGCGTGCAGACACGTAGTCCTGAAGCAACGTTTACTTTTACAGATTGTGTCGGCCTCAGTTGAACTCTGACTTCTGTAGTTCCCACAGCGAGGAACTGTCAGGGAGAGGGACAACATGCCACCACAAGAGGGCTCACTCAGATCCAAAATTTTCTTTTTTACAATACACTCATGTTATTTTGTTTCTGATTGTCCCAGAAGAGATTCTGATTGCATGTGAAGAGAAGAAACATTCATCAACACTCAATCAATAAAACACATAAAAAAGATGTACACGCTTTGTTTTAWTATCTGTGATACAAGATATTTAATGCTTGTTAACATGCTGAAATGACTGATGAACATGTCTGATCAGACCAATCAGAACAACATGAAGTCCAAGTGTAACAGAATAACTTTTAATGTCTAGATTCTTATTAGTATTTGTTTGAATCAATGTTGTTAACTTTGTACAAAAGTTTTAGTTTAAAGTACGTGTAAGTCATTATAAAGAGGTAAATGTACTTTATGTATGATTGCACAGGTCATTTTGAGCCACAGTGCAGTGGTGACTGATCTTCTGCTGATACATAATAAAATTCTGCAAAACGTAGTTTTTATGTACCTGGTTATAAACTCATGTATTTTGCATTGTGCCAAAATGTTTAGTTGATAAGTGTACAAAAGTGCATTGATCATTATATTTATACATTTTTTAAAGTAAAGAAAAAGTGTTTACATTACACAATCAGCAAATAGTGTTTTTATTTACAGAAAAAGCAGTTTCGCTGTTTTTCCATCCATTAATTATCTTTACCCACTTCTTCCTTTCCAGGTTGCTGGTGCTCATGTTTAGCAGTCACTGTGTGAGAGGCAGGGTGCACCTTGGACAGGTTGTAAGTCCATCACAGGGACACTGTTAAAAGGGCCTTAAAGGCACAGTGTGTAAGATTTTGTCAATTCTTTTAGCCGAAATTGAGATAATCACTGTCGACAATAATAAAAAAACATGTCTAATTATTGCCGACAAAGACTTTGTTTTATTATTTTTACCTTATAAAAAGCTGTTTATATCTCCATGGTCGCGGGTCTCCAGTACAGGCAGCCGCCATCTTGCACCGCCATCTTGTCTACGAAGGCTCATGAAGGACAAACTGCAGTGGTAGCGTCAAAAACTGTTTTAGTTGTAATACTGTAAATGTAATATTTGTTGTCTGTCATTGTAGCTGGGATAATTTTACTTATTAAAGCTCATAATCTTACCACTTGAAACATCACTAGCCCTGAAGCTGCTGGTAGACATCGCRGTTGGAATTATCAAAGGTTTTTGACACCTGAGAGACACCGTAGCAACTCCTTTGTGTTTGGAAGCGGGGGGTGGGGGTGGGGGGAGGACCAGGGAGGATGATTCAACCACTCATCCACTAGATGTCGCTGAAAACAACAAATCCTACACACTGTGCCTTTAAGGTGGACAATGGGGGATTTAGCCCCCACCCATGTGAGGTATCATGAATAAATGAAAAAGATGAGCTCTCAGCTGATCACTTTATCAGCCAGAAACTGACCACAGACCCACCTGCTGTGTGTCTGCTTGTAAAACCGGCATTCTGCTGCTGCTGAGCAGAACTGGCCCCTGTCTATCCTGCTGGACAGATGAACTTTGGACTGAATTACCCCCAACTTACTCTGGCTTGGATTGTCACTGTATCCCTATATGTCCCCACTGAACATGCTGAGCTTTTCCAGAATCAACAATGTGTTGGAGATTAGATGATGGAGAATGGAGAGAAAGTGTTTTTTAATTAAGTTTTTGTGTGATTTAATAAATGTTTTATTTTTCTGATCAACAGGATTCCCTTTTGAGTTCATGTAAGTTTGTTTATTGGTTATTTAAAAAGTATTTTAGTTATTCTGCTTGTGTCAGTCTACTTTGGTCCAAAACCTCCTAAAGACTGCAACGGTCATGGACAAATTTTAAGTGTTCTTACAAAAAAATAACAACCTCTCTACTAGAAACCAAAACAATAAAGTTCTTTTTACTGGAACCCTAGCCTTGGTCAATCAAGGAATCAAAAATAAAAAATGTGAAGCTAATAATGTTCCTATTCTGACCTTGTTAATGTAGATGTAATTGCCACTTAGTGGTGCATTGTGGGTATTTGTTTTGTTAGAGTGAGTGAATAAAAGAAAATAAGTTTTAGAAATTACCAAGAGCAGTGTCTGATGTCTTTATTCATTTATTTATTTATTGAAGTCTCAGTTTCTCACAAGAGTTCACGTAACTTAAAGAGTGAGTGATACTGCTGTCATGTCATCAATCAATCACCTGTTCATACAGTGATCCCAGGAAGAGTTCCCTGAATTCCAACACAAAGAGGATTAAATCAAACTGGACTGTTCGGCAGATTAAGAATAAGCAGATGTGCTGTTTTTTTTTTTTTTGTATGTTTCAGAGATCTTTTCTCATCAAGGGACCCATGCAGCTCATTTAGACAGTTTGTGGGCGAAGCTTGGACAGCAGGTTGGGTATGGCGTCTGGTTTATGTGTTTGAAAGTAGTAAATAGCGCCTCCTCCAGCCAGAACGGCCAGGCTCAGCTTGAAAAGACGAGCTGCAATGGAAGGCTCTTGCTCAGGCAGCTGGAGAAAAACAAACAAACAAACATTTAAATCGTGTCATATATCAGCTAAAACCGTCATGCAAGAAGTCACTGAGGAACCTGTTCAGACCTTTCTTGTTTTTAGGGGCTGGTACATGCGGTCAAACTGAGTGAAGATTGCTCTTCGGGCCCCGTCCCATTTCCCTGGTCCCATTAAACGGTACTGGAAAGCTGTGACAGGCCCCCAAAGGACCCTCTTGAACAGAGGGTAGTCTGTGAAGAAGAGCCAGAGCAGACTGGGCCGTGCTCCAATCTCTCCAGCTAAACTGTCCATATAAGAAACAAAGTCCACCTGCAGGGGGGTCAGCTTTGACACGATGTAGCTGTGGAAATGATTGCACAAATATTCAGTAAAAAAACAGGAAAGTACAAATTACTTCATGGCTTATGGAAAGGAATATTTACTTTTTCTCCATGTCTTTGGTGTCTTTTTCCACAGCCTTGATCATGGACTGGTTTGAGGGCAACTTTTTGTGTCCTTTGATGAGAAACAATAATGTGACATGCAGATATAATCTGATCATTTCACACTTACAAAGTATCTAAAGTAGAGATGAGAGGCAAGTTAGCCTCTGAGCCTCACCTTTATAGACCCGTGCCACCCAGCGGGCCTGCATCTCTGCTTGAGTCATGATGGCTCCGAGGGAATGAATGAAACCCACAACTGCCAAAGTGGGATGCTCCAAATTTGGGTGGAAAACATGTTTGTATAAACCTACACGGTGTCCGGATTTATACAGAACATCATTTGATAAGTAGGGGAAACCGTAGTTGTACCCTGTGGCAAACACAATCATATCCACCTGTAATGAAGAAGTGGAAAACCTGAGAAGATTGTGCCAGAAATGCATCCTCTTGCAGGTTTGTTAGAGAACAAGTTTTACCTTTTCGACGGTGGTGCCATCTTCGAACTCTACAGTGGAGCCACGGATTTCCTTCACGTTTGGTTTGACGATGACCGAGCCTGACAGGATCTTAAACGGCAAGTCATCGTTGATCACCGGAATCTGACTGAAGAGTCTGTTAAATAACAAACAAAAACCCGAGACATTAGATAAATATTTTAATTATTCTATAAAGTCAAGTTCAAGAGGGTTCGAAAGTTTCAGGAGTAGAAGGCTATTTAGAAAACATAGTGGGCTGACTGAGTGAAAATTTGAAATTTCAAACATCAGTAATGCTTTCTGCTGGCTAAGGCTGGGAGGGTGTTTGAAGAGTTCAAAATCAGCAGTTTTTGAGGACAATTTGTGAGAAATTTGGTTTATTTTGTCTTAAAGATTGTTGTGTTTTATGTGCCGCATCATTTAACGAGTGTTTTTTCACAATTTAGATTTTCATTTGTAGTGTTCCATCTGCAATGAAGTAAGAAGAAATGTGTTTTTTTGATTGGTAATATATTGACAGCCTCTAAGCAAAGAGGGTTAGCCAGAGGGCAGTCTGCCTGCACCAGCTTAGAAAGGAGGAAAATAACATTAAACTACCAGAGTGTAAAAATCTGATATCCAACCTAAAAATATCTTGACCACAATCTTTCCAAATAGGAACTCCCACTTGGCGGGGATGCTCTAGCTTAAATTCAAGACTCGTGAACATTCCTACATCCCAGTACGGATGGACTGCAGCAAAAGAAGTTGGTGTAAATGTGTCTTAATGGAGATTTTACACAGCAGATTTCTTTTGAATCCTATAGAAGTTACTCTATACAGTATTGTCCCAGACAYACTCACCTGTGTTTAGGTTTCAGGCCATACATGGTGTGGTCGTACATGAAGTTGAGTTTATGCTCCCCAATCCAGTTGAAGAAGTTGATGGGCAGCAGCTGGAACAGGATGTGCAAGAAGCGCGTGTTGTACTTCATGTCCACTGGAATGCCATTATCAGAAACCTGACGGATGACCCAAGCACCACGACGAGTGCTCAAATACACCTGCAGGACAACAAGCACATGAAGGAACAACCATACAAACCACTGAGGGACGGAGCATTTCGAAAGACAACAATAGCAACAAGAACCTGCTCTGCAAATCTGCTGCCCTCTACGGCAATGTCCCCTCCGGAGTTACCAATGCCGATGACCACCACCCTCTTCCCGTACATGTCCTCAGGTCCTTTATAGTCCCAACTGTGCAGGTATTTTCCTTCAAAGGTTTCGATTCCTGCAACACAGAATCATTACGCACAATGTGTGTCTGAACTTCACAATTTTAGGGCAGTGGTGAATCTAGGATTTTTCTGAATAAGGGACCACAATATTCTTAGAAGAGCCAAGTATTTATATAACATCTTTGTACACAATACTCTGATTTTGGTAAGATGTATACATTTAACCAGTCACACATGTTCAAACACTTGTAATGTAATTTAAAAAACGTTTCATGTATATTCTCCTTACAAGTTTTATGTGCATTTTTTACTGTACATAGATCAAATGCTCTCAAACGCACAGCAAGTAAGAAAATCCAGCCATTGTTGGTGGAAAGACTTTTCCTGCARGACTGTTCAAATCTTATGAAGTGAAGACAATGTCTGCAAGCTTAACGCATTAGCGCCTCTAGTGTTTGAATATGGAACTTCACCTACCACCATCACTCATGGGCAAAGGACAGATGAGTGACAGGACAGGGCCCCTGTGGCCCCGCCCCTAGAACTGCTGCTGTTTGAAAGTAGAGAAAACAATGTAATTTGAACATATAGAATGCCCAACCTGGGAAGTCTTTGAATGGCAGGTTAGGATAGGTGTAGTGACCAGAGCAGCAGATAACTGCATCGAAGACATGCCTCTCCTCTAGTCCATCTTTATCCTCTGTGACCACCTCCCACTGACCGGTGTGAGAAAAGTCTGGTCTCTGGGTGACGCTCTTCACTGAGGTCTAAGCATAAGATGTATATAAGAGCTTAGCTGTCCATCATTTGATAAATTGCAATAAAAATAATGCATTTGTATCTAAATATTTTTTTAACCTGGAAACGAATGCGTTGGAGTAGCTTGAAGTGATCTGCATACATCCTGAAGTATTTTAGGATTTTAGAGTGGTGCATGTAGTTGGGGTAATCAGCTGGGATGGGGAAGTCACTGAAGCACATCATCTCTTTAGAGATATTAATGGTAAGGGAGCGGTAGATGCTGGCCCTGTTGGGCTCTGATACTTCCTGTAGTGGAGAAAAGGTTTATACATACATACATACACACACACATATATATACACACACACATATATACACACACATATATACACACACACACACATATATATATAAATTCAGTTTTCATTCAGTTTCACATAAATAGCTTGAAAGCATAAACTAGCTTTTTTTGTATTATTATTTTTCAGTTTTATATGAAAAATATCTTGCCTTGAACTTCCACAGTCCACCCATGTCATCACTGCTTTCAAAGCAGGTCGGCTCCAAGCCCTCATCCAGACAGGCCTTAATGCTGGTCAGACCTGAGAGTCCCGCCCCGATCACTGCTACTTTCTGCACCATGATGAAGCTGCAAGAGAATAAAAGTAAAACTGAATTCAGTTGAGTCTTTTACTATATTCAAGTATAGAATTTGAAATTCACAGCTGTTCCAGGCTGTTTGGTAAAATTTATTTAGAAAACCTTATTGTGTTCAGCTAAAAACCCAGCTTGCTTGTCTGGTTAACGGTCATATTTGGTGATCAGTGACTAAGAATACTAGAAAATATATACATAAAGTATAAGAAGGTACATTGGAGAAAAAAAATCACCAAATAACTCACAACTTGACAAACACAATTAAAAAATCCCTCCAGTCATACATGAACAGAGCAAGCACAGAGAATAAGGACCGATCCATATTATCCACAACAGAATATGAACTAAACTAAACATTGGCAATTGGCAACGGCAAACAAAATATGTTTAAATACTAAATTGTATCTTACACTTGAGAAACAAGACCAATGTCCTCCAGAGGATAATAAAATCTATTGCACTGGTTCACAAATTTGGGGTCAGGACCCACAGTGTCATAGTCTGTATTTATTCTCCTTAGTTTTCCTAGTGTTTTCTATGTTCCCCAGTGTGTCTTTGCCCAGCTGCCCCACATTTACCTTGATTGTCACCCTTGTGTTTCTCCTCAGGTGTTTTCTGTTCAGTCATTAGTTTTCTGTGTATTTAAGCCCTGTCCTGTCTCTGTCTTTTGTCGGATCATTGTTTGTTCTGGTTCTCTGTGCTTTGTTCCCCCTGCCTGTGTGATCCTCGTGCCTCTGTAAGTTTGAGCTGGCTTTACAGCAGTTTTTTGTTACTTTAATAAATTTTTGTTCAACTTTTGGAACCTGCCTGCACCCTGGGTCTGTTCATGCCAAATCCTCACACACAGTAGGTTCACAAAACATCAAGGTGGAGTCCTGAAATCCTTTTCTGAATTAATTACATATAAAAATGACTACTAATCTTTTTTCCTTCATTGTTACAAAAGAAGGAGGTTAGTGTACTTAAAAATGGATAAAATTGATAAAATTATCATGATGAATATTATTTCTTAATTTGACTTGATACCAATGTTTATCACCCAAAAATAGTTGGGTGCACAGGTCTCTGCTGTGCTAAAGCATTTGGAAACCATTGGTCGTATATATTCCATGACATTGTTAACTCTTGGTGCCTTACATATTTTTTTAGTATATAAAGTTTATTCATTTCTTAAAAAGTAAAAAAAGCTCATTCTTTAAACAAAAATGCAAATCACAAATAAAATGAAAGACAGCAGGAAGAAGAAAAAGTCTTCTTCTTGAGCATTTTTCGTGAATAAATCACATAAATATTTAAAAAAATTTGAAAGACAACTCGAAAGACACATTGTAAAACAAGACATTTACTGTACAAACATAGCAGCCACCGTTCAGCATGTCCGCCCTGCAGCTGTATGATAATAATCTTTTTCCCAACCTTTTTAGATTGAATATAGCTCTGTTCAGTGAGGCATTTGGGAATGAATGTGGTTTTTGTTCTCTTTTTTTTACATGATAAAGGCCTGAACTCTTAAATTGTTGATACAACAATAATATTCATTTGTATTTTCTTAGTTTGTAGTTTTCTTCACCGAGCTACTTTAGTTTGACCTCATTGCATCTTAGAAGCAGGTGAAAGTTTTAGAATAAATAAATAACCACAAGTGTCAACCCCACTTTGCCTTTTTTTTAAACCAACAGCCCTGTTTTAGTTTCATCTTGAAGTTTATCTGTGTTTTCTTGTCGGGTCTCATATTTTTATTGGCCTGATTCTAAATGATCCAGTGCGGCTTTTAACCCGATGCTCACCTTTGCACCATTTCACTTGATAACCTGAATTACATGATTGACTAACGTTTGCTGTGCATGTTCTGACTGATTGCCCTCAACATAAAGCAATGAATAGATCAGCCAGAGTTTAAAGTACCTTAAAGTATATTCAAACTTTCAGCTCCTAATCTCATGTTCTGTCATAAAATAATCCCAGTTCCTAGGAGTACAATGAGGGAATGAAGGCAACAAAGCAGCACTAAACCTTTTAATGACCTGCTGTAGCACAGCAATATATCACATTGTTATATTTTGATCCTATCATTATCATTATCATTGTGTAAGAAAATCGACTAATCTACAGAAAAAGTCACAACTTTGTCCTTTTTTAAATAATTGCTGAAATATGCATAAATCTTGTTTAGTCATTTTGTAGTTTACAAATGTGAATGTTTGACTGTGCAGACTGAGCATGCTTCAAACTGCAGCCCTCTATCACAAAAAAAAGTGTAAGTATATTCTCTTTCCTTCTTACCTCGACAGTCCAGATGAGCTGATTCTCCGGCTCGCTGGACGAGCATCACCTGAACACGGCCTTTTATAGAAAGAGTTGTTTTTCGTTTATTTATAAACCCCTATTCAATGCAAATGAAGAAAAAAAATGACAGTAACCAAATTGAGCAATGTTTAACTTAATCTGAGATGTTTTACTTTGACTAAAGTCCAGTTTGTGTCCTGATTCGTGTGGGTGGGAGAGAGCTGATCAGTGACTAACAATGACTGCATTCGTCACTCAAGCTGTGCAGGCATGTGGAGCATAAAGGTAAAGTTTAAAAAAATCATAGGTTTTAGTGTTGATTTTTCAACTTAAAGTAATGAAAAAACATTTGCATATGTGCAATCAAAAAGGTGTAGTATCTGCACTTTTACACAAAGATAGACTAAAAAAAATTTATTAATTATTGAACCTGATGCCAGATTCTTAAAAGGTTTTTTTTCTCTTAAGTTAGATTTTTTTTATCCACCCATCCATTTTCTGTACACGCTTCTTCCTTTTCAGGGCTGCATGGGTCACTGGTGCCCATATCCAGCAGTCACAGTGCGAGGGGCGGGGTACACCCTGGACAGGTCGCAAGTCCATCACAGGGCCCTATGAAGCGCCGAAGTGGACAAACGAGACAAACAACCACTCACTCTCTCACTCACACCTAGGGACAATTTATAGTTATCAATTAACCTAACAGTCATGTTTTTGGTCTGTGGGAGGAAGCCAGAGTACCTGGAGAGACCGGGATTTGAACCGGTGACCTTCTTGCTGAGAGGCATCAGCTCTACCAACTGAGCCACCGTGTCACCAATTTTTTATATACAGTACATCTTTATTTCACTATAAAAATTTTCATAAAATAAGAAGAGAAAAATAAAATAAAACAAAAAAGAATAGTAAGTGTCATATTTACATTACAAAAAAAAAAACAGATGTGAGGGAGAATTGCCAAAAAACCCTCAAGGGGCTTGACAAGCGGCAATCTCCAAAAAAGAAATAACAACAATTACATAAATTTAAAAAATCCACACATTACAAAAAATAAAACACTACTCTAAATAAAGCAAAAAAAAAAAAAAGCTTTCAAAAATCAAACCCATAAGGGAAACCAGAGCAACACAAGAGCAACAATCTGATTATTTGCTTAAAAATCTCTTTGGAAACTTCCATGAGAGATCCTGGACGACTGTTCCATATCTTTGACCCTCTGCATAAAACACTGAACTGTGTTTGAGTTGTACGACAG